AAAGAAAGAAAGAAAGAAAGAAAGAAAGAAAGAAAGAAAGAAAGAAAGAAAGAAAGAGAAAGAGAGGCTGGATTCATTCAACTTGCTAAGCTAAAACCAAGCGAGCCTTAATAAGTGTGACCCCAGCAAGTGTACAGATTGTCTCCGAGTCTTTCTTCCTGTGAGAGAAGGCAGCGTATTAAACTACAACCACATAGTAAGAATTAGAGGTATTACTTGGATACCATTTTGTTTTATTTTTCCATTTCACTAAAGTAAGTTTTGGTCTCCCTGATTATTTCTGCATGTTACCTGCCTGTAAAAGGTTTGCCACTCTGAGGAGTCCTTCCCCATATTTACAGAGGAGATAAGCTAAAGTCCTTGCTGATTGTTGATGAGTGGATGTCCAGGAAGGAGGAGGCCATTTTTTGCAATAGAGTACTCCCCCATGGGAAGTCAGTTTGCTATCTAAGAGGGGATAGATAAATAACATACTGTTGATATCTAATGGAAGGTAAATATCATGAGGTCGCCATGCTTGCCATAGCAGCATAAGAATTGCATATATTTGTGCTACAATCTATTGGTCTGTCTTTACAGTAACTGCAATAATATCTTTTCCTGAGGTATTTTATTAGGACTTCCAGATTTGGAGTGCAAACAGTTGGACTGCCAGTAGATGGCAAGAAAGAAATATGGACTAGGATGTCTGCTACTGTTCCGAGTATCTGGAGGTAAGCACTCCAGATCTGGTAGCCCGAATTTTATTATTTAGCTTATGCATTGCATGCATCTTTTTTCTGAGATCACAATGTCGTTAAGCAAATAAATGACTCCTTCATCTTCTAATAGGTCCCTTTAAATATAGGTTATCCATTTAAGCAGACACATAAAAAGCACACCACATAAAGCATCTTTTCTACCAAAAAAATCAGCTAATAGGAAAACACAAATAATTATGGATTGAGCTGCACAGAAGTCAGTCAATAGAAAGCTTTGGGTTATTTCACAGATAGACCCTGTTAATCTTTAGTTAATCTGATAGATAATTTAAGATACTGATTATTGGCAATCAGGGTGTATGATCTCTCTCTTTCAAATCTAATCTGCCATTTCTGGAACTCCTGCACTATTGTTAAATGTTTATCTCAAAGTGTTCTCCTTTTCAAATGCCAGCTCATCAGAAAACAGTAATCAAATCTAAATGCCAAATCTGCACAAATGTTATCAAATCTACCAAAGAGTAAAGACATGCAATGAGCTATTAACTGCAGAAATGCTCACCTTCTTGCCAGCTTGCTTGGTACGATTGCCGGCAATGCCTTTTCTGCTCACTTTTATCCAAGCTTTATGATTCCAGAAACCAATAAGCTAACTTGGAACAAGGCACGTGGTGGGACAGCGGTTGGCTCTCTTGACCCTCCAGCTTCCCTTAGGTTGTTTCTTCAGACTTGAAGTACAATCACTTTCCAAAAGGCAGAAGTCACACTGTAAGGGGGATGTGGATTTGGCTTCAGATAAAAAGGCAGAGTCTGAGGGATGGATTTTTTATAGACATTTTTGGGATTTGGTGAGGAACAAGTCATGTTATACACATTCACACATTCTGCAAAAGCCAGAGGTTTTTTGGCAGTAGGGTTTTAAAAATTATAATTTTGCTAATAACCCCAGTAATAATAAATTAGTATATTTATAAATGATGATTTAATTTCTCACTCACAGACTCTTAATCGGGGGAGGGTGTTGTCCCAGCCCAAGTCTGGGTTTGCTGCCAGTGTGCCAAATGCTCAAAAGAACACACCGAGGTGGAGATTGAAGCAAAACTTCATTCTGTGCCCAGAAAGGACACAAGGAGATCTCTCTCAAAGCTTGTGTAACCACCCCATTGTTCAGTGGCTTTTTACAGTGCGCGTGTCACAAACCTGACTCCTTGTGGTCACAGCTTAACCTTTGCTTATATGGGGATCTCTAACTGCTGTTCAGCAATACTGAATATATCTAGAATTACATAAACTTTGACACCCAAGCTAATCTATATTTACTAGATATGTTTCATTCTAGCGACTTCTCTAACCACAATTCCTGTTTCTTGCTTCCTGCTGTTTGCCTTGTCCCAGGATACATTTTAGCAAGCTTTAGGTTTGCAATGCTTTTGTCAGCCTTTTATTCTGAGGCTTCTAATGTTATGTTTGAGAAACCATTTTATAGGTAATTTATTAGAAGTGTTAGTAAAGGGTGAAGCAGATTCCTGATGAAATGTAGGATGTTGTTCTTGTTCATCAAGGGGTCCTTTAGGAGGTGAGGGAAACACCTTTTTCTATCTAGGGTGACCAATAATCTCACTTCCATATCTATAAGTGGTTAAGGAAAAGATTATACAATCAGCTTTCAGAATGTTGCCATGTTTTTTTTTAAACATTCTTGCTCAGAGAAATTACTTGGCAAATATGTGTGACAGAAGAAAGTAATCCATTTGTGGAACAGTTTCACCAGTGGTGCAGGATTATTGTGACACACCCATCTACAGTGTGACCTGCTGAGTGGAAAATGAGCATGTCCCTATAAAAGAGAGAGAAATAAGCTCAGAGAAGGTCCTCATTACCAGCCCGGCTGAGGGTTGTGTCAGTGGAGCTTTGCTCTCCCTCAAATTGAACCTGGCTCCATGTAAGTTTTCTTGGCAACAATATCAAAGTGATTTCCTGCTGCCTCCTCCCAGGATGTTTTTTCCAACTTTCCAGTCTAGCCTACTAACTTAATGTTTTTTGGTGGTCTTCTATGGCATAGGGCCCGGTTACTTGAGGGACTGCCTGCCTCCCTTAGCATCTGCCCAGCAGGTTCAATCTAGCAGAGTTGGCGCTCTCCAGGTCCCATTGATTAAACAATGGCATCGGTCTGCACCCTGGAAGCCCTCTGCAATGAGGTTCCCCTGAAATTCAAATGGCTCCTACTGTACTGGTATTTCAAAGAGCCCTAAAGACCTGGCTCTTCACCCAGGCCTTTGAAGAGGATGACTGATGCCCCTTCTTTTTTGTTCTCCTTGTTTTCTTTGCCATAGTTGTCTTGTGTTGTTCTTTGTGTACTAATTTTTGTTTTTAAATGTTTTTAAGAACTGTAAATGGCCCAGAGTTGCTGGGAGTTGGGCGGCATACAAATTTTGATGATGATGATGATGAAGATGATGATGATAAATGCATATAAAGCCAGAATTGAGAAGACAGCAACAGACAGCAAATGCAGCCTTTGGAAAGAAGCTGAAGAAACAGTGGACTACCAGTCCAAGGAATTATTTCCTTTCATTTATTTTAAATGAAACAATCGAAATGAAGTTTTCTTAAAATGTATACAGTACATTGCAAATTAGTATAAAAAGGAAAAGAAATCAGGATAAAGCAGGGCAATTTCTAGCACACGTATTTAAATTAAAATCCACTCCATCTGGATTGCAAAAGAACAAGACATGCAAAAGGAAGATCAATACTCAGTGCACCTTATCTTTTCTCTGCCTGCTACTGTTGAATCAATGCAAGCAAACATGCTCCAGATGGCTCATGAGCATTACTAATGCTCACAGTTCAAAGCAGGGATTATTAACGATACTGTATATATTTTGTCTTGGCCACACTTTGCGTGGTGGCGCAAAGTTTGCACAAGTATCACCTGAATGTCATGCTAATAGAGAAGACTATATGTCTTCTCACTTCAGGTGGCGGGGAGCTGCAATTTGTTACTGCATTTGAACATGCCAAACTTGTGGCATGTAAATAACTCTAAAACCTAGCACATCTGCAGGGAAAGTTTCATTCCAATACCTTCTCTGCTGTGTGATGGTTTTGTGACTGCAAATAATGTATGAACATATTCAAACCATGTGACCAGTATCTGTTTTCCTGACAAAAGGGGCTCGTCTGCTTTTAAAATCAGAGGTGAGAAAAGTAGCTAAATGCATTATGCTTCCTGTAGCAAAGGAGGAGGTGAGCAATGCATCATTACACCTATTACACCCAGCCAGTACTTCAAATACCGTCAATAGGAAAACATGCTTACATCTTTACAACTTCATTTCTATCTGGTAGCCGATAGAGCAAAGTATTCTTCTTGTTAGCATGCTTTGACTCCCAGATTGGATTGCTCTGATTGCTGTTATATTAATCCAAGTGGCAAAGGGTACATTTTTAGTTGATCAGTAAGAACAAACAACAACATGGCCAGTACGGTGCATGGGCAGCTGGTGAATCTGCAGGACAGCTGGGCACCATTTCTTTCCATAAAGACTTTGTTCCTAATTGTTGGGACACAGTTTCAAAAAGTACGTGAAATTATGACAGCCTTAATTATAACTCAATGTAGGATCTTTAACCCCTTCCCACCAACAAAGGAATGTTTCCTTTCTCTCATATATCGCCAGGCTCAAAGCAACTGTGGCTGGTTCATAGCCACAAAATTCAAAAAAACCATAATGAACACCAAGATCATAAAGCCACTCCATAAAACCCAGACTGGCAACATTCATGTTAAAACTAGTTTTGCTTCATTCTGTCAATTTGCTTCCTTCACTGGCCAAGAAAAGCAAATAGATATGCAAGGGCATTTTTGGTCTAACACATTTATCACAGAGGCAATTCATGCTAACTCAAGGTCTTTATAATTGTACAAATAGGCCTATTATGTTATAGAACTATTGCCTTTTGGGTGCACATCCAATTTTATAATATAAAATGAAAAGAGCCCTGAACTGGTGGCAAGGGAGGAGGACACATGATCAGAAGGATAAAGGCATCTCTTGCCATACATACTTCCATTGCTCCCTGGATAGTGGGCTGGATTTTAGCCATTCCCTGACAGGTCTTGGGGAGCTTATTCATTTAGAGATATGATCCCAATTTCAGGGCCTTGAGCTAGTCACAAGACAGCCAGTTTGGCATAGTGGTTAAGGCACCAGGCTAGAAACCGGGAGACCGTGAGTTCTAGTCCCACTTTGGCAATTCAACATTGATGATGGGAAGTAACCTTAATTACTTCAGTTGGAGGGAGGCTCACCAAGGAATGAGTCAGGCTATGATACACAGAGAGCTCTACCCTTCAACATCTCACCAAAGGTCCCCAAGCAGCTGCTTTTTTTCAGAGATTTGGTTGCATGAACAGAAGGCAAAAACCCACAAATACACCTGTGCATTAGTGGAAATAACCTCCAACTATGAAACAGCTATAAAAAACCAAATTCCACAAAATATTCATAGCATCTGACATCATTACAAATAAAATAGGACAAGAATCTAAAAATACTGTACATGAATTTGTGCTCCTTAGAAGCCAAATAACTACGTTTCTACTCTAGTTTATTTCTCTTTCTCTCTGAAACAAAAATTACACTGAGTTGGGGTGATTTATTTGCCTCCTATACAGGGCAAGCAGAGGGACTTAAAAATTATAACAGATGAATGGAATGCATGGGAAGGGAGGAAATTGCATTATCAGCATGGATGGTTGCATTATTTATCCCACTTTTCTATCCTACATTTGACTCTCTATCCATAGTACAGTGTCATTATTCTGATTTTTGTTTCCCCAAACTGGCAGCATGATCTTTTTCACAAATTTCCAGTACTAAATAGCAATATAGGAATCTGCGTGTCTTAATGCTTGCTACATAAATAATCTGATTTATGCCTATTAGAAATTTTCCTGACAGTATGACAAAAAGATGCAGTATTTTTTAACTTTGGTTCTCCAGCTAATCCAGTTACTGAAAAGCAAATACAGATTTTCTAGACATTTTTAAATTGTATTTTATATTATGCTACCTTGTTATGACCTGTAGTTACAATAATAAATGTATTTACCTTACCTATTTTTTGAAGGGTATTTATTCCTTATTATGAAAGTAATGCACTGGATTGAAGTCTTCTATTTATCTATTGCTCATGTCCTGTACAGAACACGCAGAGCTTAGCTTATCCATATTGTTCTGTGTACTTGCATTAAGGGTGAAAGAGGGCAGTCTGAATCAGTTGGTTCTATCTGAATCTGCTTATTAGGCTACAAAAGGTTACCTACCAGCTCATCTTCCATGATCTTCCAGAACTATTAGATGCAGAAGGGGAATCCAAGGAAGAAATGCCATTTCTTCTATTATCAGAAGTGATAGACCATCATTCCTCCCTCCCCCCAAGTTTTTTTTTGGTAAAGTTTGTCATACTGATTTACTAGGAAGGAACTAAACCTTGCCAGCAATGAGCTGATACAATTCCTGGCATTCTGAATCATAGTTGGAGAATAAGAGGGCTTTGAATCTGGTAGCCTCTCCAGCCATGACTCCTTTTTGCCCTTCCTGAGGTCAGATTCTCCTCTCAAAAGACAGGCCTCTCTCTGCGCTCCCAGAAAGAGAAATCAATCAAATATTATCTGGTCCTTAAGGAGGCTTCCACGGTTCATGTGATTTCAGTATTTTTGTGCCTTAGAACGAAACAAACATGTGCCCCCAGCCCCCATCCCTGGCACATCAGAATTACCTCTAAGACAAACTAGTTAGACTCCGGCTCTATTAGCTTATCAGGACAAACATTTATTTAGTTCTTTGTAGTAAATTTAGAATAAACATGACACAGAATCCAAACTTTAAAAACAGATAGATGACCTTTTTATGGTCCTAAAGAACCACAAATGCTAACTGGAATGCTGAATGCTGAACAATATATTGAGACCAAATAGTAATTTCTCATTTATTATATTACAGCAGCCTTTTAGTGGTTTTATATCATAATCTGAATTCCATATATAAGCAAAAACCTTCTGCACAGATAACTGGGTCCTTGATTGTTGCAAGGAGGATTTTCTGGCATCAAACAAGTATTGTGATTGGAAAAAGTACAGTATTAGTAGTCCACTCCTTTAAAGCTTCCAGTTAAAGAAAACCACAAAAAGAAAATAAAATCCTGCATCAAAGTAGACTACCAAAAGAATCAGAAAACAGCTAAATGTGTTTGCAGTCATTTCCCATCAAGACCAGCTAAACATGTATAATTTTAAACAACCTAGCATACCCATGAACAAAGCAGAGATAAAAGTGACTTGGCCAACATCATGCTGGACAGTTTAAAAAATATATGTGCGTATATAAACTTAGAATCGAATTGATTTAAGATTAAATAGTCCAATTTGGTCTTTGTGGAACAAAAGTATTAGAGGTGCTGCTCATTTTCTAGCAATAAGCTGGTAGTGATTCAGTACACAAAGTTCTCTTTGGTTTACACACATAATGTGCATAGAGGAACGAAAACTGCATGTACTAGTTAAGGGTTTCTTTCCCATTTTTATTTTTTGCTAATTATCAAAGCAATTTCTTGCTTCCCTTTCCATCTTTATAATTTGGCCAGAATGAGGAAGGGCATTGCTATTAAGCATTCAGAAAGTGAAATCTGCAAATAGGAAGGATAATGGATATTTTATCATCTTAGTGTTGAAGGTGGGTGGGCAGTATATGGGATCCAGATAGACAAACTAGCAGCTATAAAAAGAAGTTAAAGTAGCTGACTTCTTATAGAAGACAGAAAATGTTTTCAGACCACCTTTCCTGTTTGCTCATGTAATTGTATATTCTAGCACCCGGATACATATGAAGACAATTCCTTCATGAAGATTGGGTTAGGAAATAGTTGTGTTTCCTTATAACTCTGCAGTAGAAGTCAACCAGTAGGTTTGACACTGGTCAAGCTGTAACAGGATTAAAGATGAAGATACCTAATACTATTCTGGGTTGTAAAACAGCTTACAGTAAGAGATGGGAGAGTTTCAAGATACATGTGGAAGGAGGACCAGTGAGCTTGGCAAGTTGTCACATGGCCATCCTATTGCAATGGCTTGATCATTCAGGCCTTAGTCCTCCTGTTCAGTTGTGCTTTCACAATATAAAACTTGTAAGTGCAAACAAAGCAATTTCTTACTGAAACTATTAATCCTAAAACATCCCAGTACCTTATAGTTCAGTGTGCTCACTACATTCTAGAAGTTATAACATTTTAAAACGTAACAGTTGTTTATAACGATTGACTTTGACCTTATTCATTTTGACCAAAAAGATTTTTCTAGATTGTTCTAACAAAGGAAGATAAAAAAGAAGGAGGGAGGGAGGGAGGGAGGCTTTTTTTAATGTGAAAAGCCAATGAAACAATGCCTATTGATGTGTTTCTTAAAACTTAGTTTGTGTTTCTCTTCTGTTCCTGGGCAGTCACAAAGTTCAGCAAGTCAATTGCCGTAACAACACCAAACACCATTTGCCTTTTACTAGATTCGCCATCACTGTGATCTAGAAGACACAAGACAATACAATAAGTCTGATTTGTGAAATGAGATGGAAACTGTCTGTTTTCAAATTGGCACTTTAAAACATAAGTTTACTATCCGCACTTACACAATACAGAGAATTTACACATGCATGTAGTTAGTTATCTGACATTAGATTTCCCCAACCAGATGCCTTCCTAATGTCTCAGACATGTATCTCCCAGAGTTCCTACCCAGTACATCTAGTCTACAGAACAAGGGAAAGGACTCCAAGATGGTAGCAGCCTAGGAATTGCCTTGTTTCTTTGTTCTGCTTCTGGAAACTGGGCCTATTTATGCTACTGACACAAGTCTGCTAGCATTCAGTACAAATCTATGTGATGCTGTCAGCTCAAGCTATAAGCATTTTGGAAAAAGAATGACCTCGTAATAATCTCAAATGCATATTGCACACAAACTGAATAAGGGACTTTCTGAGAATTTCAGGGATAAACTGGGCAAGGCTCTGCAGTACCTACCATAGGGCAGAAGCATTCTTTTAGGTGTAGAACTGCCACTCTTGGCTTACTCTGTGGCAGCTACAGACTGAATTTGAAAGATAAAAGCCACTTAAAAAGAGGTAATGAAGGGCATATCATTAACAGTGGGTGAGAAAACCCAAAACTTAGGATTTAAAGTAGGACAATTCTGTGGCGAGTTGTCTATTCCAGTGTTTCTCAACCTCAGCAACTTTAGGGTGTGTGGACTTCAACTCCCAGAATTCCCCAGCCAGCATGCTGGGGAATTCTGGGAGTTGAA